CGAAGGGGGATTCTGATCATCTTCTTGCTACTGCGTCAATGTCCAAATCAATCCAAATCAGTCCAAACAGAGTTCATAATTCTATCCAGTCTTATCTTGCTGTTTCCACATCACATCTTGTTTATATATTTTCTCTTTTTTCTTTATGATCTCTTCTGATGGTCTCCTTAAGCCGATAAACACCAATAATAATAATAATCCTGTGTGAATTTTCCGTTCTTCCATTCCTCAAATTGAGATGGTTTCCATATATCATCGCCTTCATAGATAACATCGCTCTTTCCATCTCGCAAAGCTGTCGCTCTTAAGTCCCTCTGAGGAGTTTCACCCACAATATATAAACAGCTCTATTTCTCTCTTTCTCCTCCCAGACTCAAGACCTCCGACAGAACTTCCCAATATGGCGACGGCATTTTTAACTGCGTCATTCCCAAGCTCTTATACATTCCTCGCTCTTCTTAAGACATGCTTTGATTCGAAAGTTTATCTCCACACAGCCTTAAATCCACAGCTTAAGTCCTTAAAACGACATTTCTGACTCGTGACTCGTGAGGGGAGGGGATTCTTGTTAATCACATAAGAAAAGAAAGGAAAGTTTTTTCCCCTCCCCCATCAGTCATTTGCCATACCGTGTCTTGGCGTATCTTCTCATGTTTTATTCTTGTCTTGTTTTATCAGAGATCTCTTCTATAGCAGTCTTTACTCCCCTCCTTCCTTGAAATATGTGCATTCCTTCATCCAAATTGTTTTCTTTTGAAGTTCTAGCAGCTAGTGGCGCAAATCAGGGACGGCGTCCAGGAGTGCCAGAATCCCACAGGAGGGCTTTGTGCCTAGTGCCCCCATTCCCACAAGTTTGGGGGTGGTATAGGGCACAGCAGGCAAAGGCAGTCCCCCCCCACCATCCTGGGGGGGTTAGGGAGGCTAATTACTCCCATCATAGCCTCCAAATTACCTCGTGTGGGTCGGAGAGATGTTATTGTCAGCCATCTTCTGATGCGCCCCCTAGAGGCCCCGCGTTGCTTTTTCCTTTGTGGAGTGAAGATCTGCTGTCACAGGGCGAGATCTGTACCCGAGGGCTCTTCTCTCATGTGCTTCTGTGAAGAAGGTGGGAAAGTACAGTCATACCTCATGTTGCGTTAGGTTCATGTTGCGTCTTTTCAGCTTGCAAACACGGCAAATCCGGAAGTGTATACTTCCGGGTTTTGCCGCACGCGCAGAAGCGTTCTATCGCGCTCTGCACTTGCGCAGAAGCGCCGCTCTAGTTGCGGACTTTTCGGGGTGCAAACGGCACCCCAGAATGGACCGTGTCCGCAACTAGAGGTACCACTGTGTTGTTTATTATTATGGTTGTTGTTGTTATTGTTAGTAGCCATGCAGAATTACTGGCATGTGTCAACCCCATGGCAAAATGGACTAGGTTAGATAGAAAGGATTGTGCCACTGTGGTCTTTCAGACTCGGCCATCCTTAGTCTTAGCCTGCTCCCGGTGACGTCTTTGGCAAATACAGCTTTTCATTGGTGGGTTTAAGAAGTTTCCATTGTATCGTTCCTGTGCACCATGCTAGTTCTCCTTTTCTCTCCCTCATGCACAGAAGCTCCTTGGAAATTCTCTCCTGAAGCTGGAGGGGGAGGACCGTTTGGATATCAACTGCACACTGCCCTTCAGTGACCAGGTAATGGGGGATTTTGCCAACTCTTGCTTTGCCATGCTGGGGAATAAGCAAACTGAACAAGGAACCTATTTAGTTTTGGACCTTCTGGGATTTCTTCCTTCGGTGGTGGTGGTTTTTAATAGCATCCCTGTAGCCTTTCTCTCTGTGTGTGTTGACTCTTCATAAACCCCTTTTGTAGGTGGTCCTAGTGGGCGCTGAGGAAGGCCTTTATGCCCTGAATGTGCTGAAGAACTCTTTAACACATGTCCCAGGAATTGGTGCCGTCTTCCAAGTGCACCTCATCAAGGATCTGGAGAAGCTGCTCATGATAGCAGGTAGAGTTAGGGAAGCCATGTATTCTGCTATAATGGAACTCTTATATGTCAATTTGAATGTTTCCTCATCAGGCTCCTGAAACTTCAGTCGGCATTGCCTGCACTCTTCCAGGCACACCTTACCTCAACCATAATAGCTAGAAACTTGCTTTTAGGAAAAGAGAAAAAACCCTTAGTTTTTATGATGGCAGATTTTGTGGCTGATGCTACATTCTGTGTGGCATTTCTGAACTCTCAGGACTGCAGTGTGTGTGTGTGTGTGTGTGTGTGTGTGTGTGTGTACCTTGGTAACTCTCCTTGCCCCCCCCGGGGGGGGGGCAGTTTTGTTTTTTTCTTTTGTTTGCATTTAGTCATATAGAATTGCATCGGCAATTTTGTCCTTGTTTTGAAACACCTTTCAATGATTTTGCATGGTTTATTTTGTATGCAACCACCTTCAACTATCTTTTGCATCATCAAATTTAGGAAATTGGGGAGTTTCCTTACACAGCGCTTAGTATTCTCAGTATTGGGTACACTGGCTGGCAGCAGCACTCCAGGTTTTCAGGCAGGGAATATTCTCAGTCTGACCAGGGATTGTACCTGATAACTTTCTACATGCAGAGCAGGTGCTCTGCTGTTGAGCTATGGTCCCTCCTCCATTAAGCTAATAAACAGAAGTTGATAAAAGTTTATTAAGCTTTATTTGATGATCCTTCTGACTTGTGAAGTAGGACTTAACCCATTTTCAGTGAACGGAACGAGTTCCAGTGCTGTTTAGACATAAAATATTTCTAGAAACCAGCTCTTAGTGATTTGGTGCCATTAAGTGTGGGAGCAGCATGAAACTTTTACTTCTGTAATTTTGCTCCTTGGCTTAGCTAGAAATGTTTCTCTGCTCCTCTGTGTCTTTCCTCAGGGGATGAGAGGGCACTGTGTCTTGTTGACGTGAAGAAAGTTAAGCAGTCTCTAGCCCAGTCCCACCTGCCAGCCCAGCCTGATGTCTCTCCAAACGTTTTCGAGGCTGTGAAAGGTTGTCATCTTTTTGCTGCTGGCAAGGTAAGACCCCCAAGCTTTGCATTTGCCTCTTAATGCAGTGATCCCTGGAACGCAGGGTATGATGATCAAAAGGGTTGTTAGACCCATCTCAAGACCATGCATCCACTATTTGTTTAAGACATTTGTATGTCACCCTGGGTCATATTAGATTTCAAGGCGGAGTACAACAAAATAGCACTATTTGTTATCTTTCACATGCAGATTGAGAATGGGCTGTGCATCTGTGCAGCGATGCCCAACAAAGTGGTGGTTCTGCGCTACAATGAGAGCCTCAGCAAGTTCTGCATCAGGAAGGTAAATTTGCAAGTGCAATGCAGTCCCCTTTTGCCCGCGAGAGGCTGGCAACAGTTGGTCCCAACTCTGACATGGTGAATAGCCTGCCCACTCTTCCATTAGTTATAACTAAACCTGCCTTCCACCCATTTTTGCCTTTGCACTGACCAAGCTGCAACCGTATAGTGTCTTCATCATAAATATTCAGTGTAAGTTACTCCCCTGGACATGACACGTTGCCACACAGAATCAGACTGATGCAAAAGTACGTAGTGGTGATCCTATACTGGCCTGTCAGTGTAGTTTAGGATATATAGGCCCGTTTGATATTTAATCTGTGCTACAAGAATCCCACAGGTGCTTACTAGCGATCCATCAGTTTGGAGAACAGTAACAGTGGACATGCATCCTTGAAAACCAGCCGGTCTCCTGAAACGTATAGCTGCAGAGAAGAGTGTGGTCCACAATGTGGCCTGGTTTTGTGCAGGGCATTGGTGAGACTTAACACGGAGTAAACAAGAACGTGGTAGTCTAGTTGCAAGGGGCTAAATGCAGCAACTCAGTTTATAATTCTGTACCTTGAATGCTGAGGTCTGTTCTGGACCCCATAATTCAAGAAAGAGACTTAAGCCAACAGGTTGGAAGGATGCCAGTGGGCAGCTGCATTATTATTTGTTCCTGTAGAGCAAGGATTTTAATCCCTGTCCCAGCAGTGTTACCCAGAATCCTCTACCACTCTCCTCAAAGTGAGACTGAACAAGCCAATGCAGTTGTCACATTCCCAAGCCCAGAAACTCCAGACCTATCTTGGATTTTGTGACTGCAGCCAGGCAGATTCCTAGGATCTTCTTAATCTTAACCACCCTTCTCTGCTCCAGTCAGGGGGCTGTATAATCCAAGTAGGCTAACTGAGGCTCGTATGTCTGCTCTTTTGTTTCCGTCCTTGCAGGAGATTGAAACCTCGGAGCCCTGCAGCTGCATTCATTTCACCAGTTACAGCATCATCATTGGAACAAATAAGTTCTATGAAATTGAGATGAAGCAGTACACCCTTGAGGGTAGGTGTCTCTTCCTAACTATGCTTTGGAGAGCTAGTGCTTTAAGTCCTCAGGGGGATGTATGGCAGGGGTGGGCTGTCGCCTTCATGCCTGCCCTGCCTTGGTCATAGGAGTGTAGGAAATCTTCCTTAAACAAAATCAGACCATTGGTCTATCTAGCTCAGCACTGTCTACACCAGGGGTCAGCAGACGTTTTCAGCAGGGGGCCAGTCCACTGTCCCTCAGACCTTGTGGGGGGCCAGACTATATTTATTTTTATTTTGGGGTGGGGGGGGGATGAACGAATTCCTATGCCCCACAAATAACCCAGAGATGCATTTTAAATAAAAGGACACATTCTACTCAGGTAAAAACACCAAGCAGGCCCCACAAATAACCCAGAGATGCATTTTAAATAAAAGGACACATTCTACTCAGGTAAAAACACCAGGCAGGCCCCACAAATAACCCAGAGGTGCACTTTAAATAAAAGGACACATTCTACTCATGTAAAAACACGCTGATTCCCGGACTGTCCGTGGGCTGGATTTAGAAGGCGATTGGGCCAGATCCGGCCCCCAGGCCTTAGTTTGCCTACCCATGGTCTACACTGACTTTCAATGGCTCTTCCTGGGTTTTAGGCAGGAGTCTGACCCAGCCTCACTTGACAAAGCTGAGGATTGATTCCAGGGCCTTCTGCATGTATAGTAGATGCTCTAGCACTGAGCTATGACCTTTGTTTAAAATGAAATAGGCACTGATCTAATTCTCTTGTGCCTTCTAGAATTCCTGGACAAGAATGACCATACTTTAGCTTCTGCTGTGTTTGCATCATCCACCAACAGTTTTCCAATCAATATCATCCAGGTGAACCCTACAGGGCAGAGGGAGGAGTATCTGCTTTGCTTTCATGGTAAGTCTAGTTCAGTGTCTTGCTCAGCTTCTGCCCATTTCTCCCAAGGAGCTCAGAGCTCCTTTCCAGGGTGATTCAGGTACTGGCAACTCTCAGGCCAGCTTAGTTTCAAAGATCAAACTGCATGTTCAAGCGCATGCTCTAGGTTTTTCAAAGGGAAATTGTTCCCACACCCAACAACTGCCAATTACTGCTTCGTGGAGCTCTGGAATCCTGGCAAACTCACATTTCATTTCTCTTAAGAATAATAGCTTGAAATGGAATGGTGGTGATTGTTGGGTGTGTGTGTGTGTCCCCTCCTGCAGAGTTTGGCGTCTTTGTAGACTCCTATGGAAGGCGCAGTCGCTCAGATGACCTGAAATGGAGTCGTCTGCCTTTAGCATTCGGTAAGCATTTGTGTGATTTTCATTGTCATGTGATTACTTGTGCACCCATCTTTTTCTAGTGTTCAGAGATGCCGAGGGTTGTAGAAATAGCGAGGGGGCATTTGTCTTTCCTTTTGTAGAAGGACCTTCAGCAGAGAAGGAGGGGGAACCTGTGGCCTTCCTGGTGGGGATGGCCTTGAGCCAACATGGCCAGTGGTCCAGGATGTTGGGAGCTGGGAATCTAGCTAGATCTGGTCCAGGATGTTGGGAGCTGGGAATCTAGCTAGATCTTGGAAGGTCACAGGTTCCCACATCCCTGGCTTAAAAAGATGTGTTCTTTTACAAAACAAAAACTCAAAAATCTGAGGCATGGTTTTATTTATTTCATAAAATTTAAACAACAACAAACAACAAATTTATTTATACCCCGCCCTTCCCAGTTTAAAAACCAGGCTCAGGGCAGCTAACAGCAAATATAAAACATTGATTAAAATGCGACTTAAAAACAGCATAAATGCAACATAAAATGCAGCATCAATATCAATAAAATTAAAAAATTCAGGGGTCATTTTCTTTGGGGGGGGGTGGAACAAGAACCCCAGTCAGCAGACATCAAATGATCACCAGGGCTAACTGGCCAAGTTGGTCCTACTAGGGCCAGCTGGGAGACCAGGGAAGAATTTAAATGTGGGGTCCCGCTTGATTGTAAAAGAAATTGGTAAAAATAGTTAAGAACAACTATCTAAAACATTTTCAGAAGTAGGGCTGTAGGAGGACAAGACATGCGCTTCTTAAGAGATAATTGGACAAGTTCACGGAGGACAAGCTTGTCAGTGGCTACTGGTCACAATGGCTATATTTTACCTCCACTGGACACAGTATACCTCTGAATGCCAGTAGGTGGGGAGAGCGCTGTTATGCTCAGGTCCTGCTTGCTGGTGTCCCATTGGGGCATCTGGTTGAGAACAGGATATTGGACAAGATGGGCCATTGGCCTGAATCAGCAGCCAGGCTCTTAGGATGTTTTCTTGTGAGTTCCCTGACTACTTTATTCATCTTTGTTCCTGGCACTGTTCTTGCTGTAGCCTACAGGGAGCCTTACCTGTTTGTGACGCACTTCAACTCTCTTGAAGTGATTGAGATCCAAGCACGTGCCTCCCTCGGGTAAGTAATTACTCCGCCTCACTGCTTGCCTTCTACAACTGTGGAGGCCAAACTGGCCAAAGCAAGATTTAAGAGCCAATTTTAAAGGCACTCTTCCCTCTCCACCCCACCCCAGCACTCCAGCACGAGCCCACTTGGATATTCCAAGCCCTCGCTACCTGGGTCCAGCGATTTCATCAGGAGCAATTTACCTGGCCTCTTCCTACCAGGACAAACTAAGAGTTATTTGCTGCAAGGGGAATTTGGTGAAGGAATCCAACAACGAACTCCACCGAGTCCCCTCTACTACGCGCAGGTAAGAAGTAATATTACAGCTTTACACTTATAGGAGAGGGGGAAAGAGAGACCCCTGCCCCAAGGTGCCCTCTACTTTGGAAGGATGGGGAAAGCATGGTGGCAGTAGATGGACACGATGAGCTAGGTGCAGTTTCACCTACCGAGATGCCAGTTTGACTGGGGAAGAAAAGTGGAGAAGATTAAAGATTGCATGGAAAGCAGGATGCATCACCAGTGCTGAGAAAAGCCTTAGAGAAAGATACGTGGTTCATGCCAATGCAAGTTCTGCTCAGCGTAGACCCATTAAGAACATAAGAAGAGACTGCTGGATCAGGTCAATGGCCTATCTAGTCCAGCATCCCATTTTTACAGTCTCCACCACTCAGCTATGCCTCTTCCCCAAAGGGAGAGGTAAACTGAGTAGTTTGAGGCAGTTTTGGGACAAGTTGAGGAGAAGAAGAAGGTGTAAATAACAAGGGGGATGCCACTGAAAGAAGGTGGTGGTCCAGGCCAAGTGATGATGAGAATGTGGGCCTGTGTCTTAAGTAAGAAGATGCAGGGGAAGGAACAGATGTTTACAATGTTGCTTAGGTCTTGGTTGAATAGAGAGAGGAAAAAAGGAGGAAAAAATAGAAGATGCAGTTGAGCGTGCCTTACCTCACTCAGCTGGGTAAAGGTAAAGGGACCCCTGACCATAAGGTCCAGTCGTGGTTGACTCTGGGTTGTGGCGCTCATCTCGCTTTATTGGCCGAGGAAGCTGGTGTACAGCTTCTGGGTCATGTGGCCGGCATGACTAAGCCGCTTCTGGCAAACCAGAGCAGTGCACGGAAATGCCGTTTACCTTCCCACCGGAGCGGTACCTATTTATCTACTTGCACTTGGACATGCTTTCGAACTGCTAGGTTGGCAGGAGCTGGGACCGAGCAACGGGAGCTCACCCCATCACGGGGATTCGAACCGCCGACCTTCTGATCAGCAAGTCCTAGGCTCTGTGGTTTAACCCACAGCGCCACTCGCATCCCTTACTTAGCTGGGTAGGTAGTGGTAATATCAGCTACTCTCTACACCCAATGACAAGAGGGAAGATGAAGGGGAAAGAGGAGCTGTTCAGACTTGGCCATGTTGAGGGCAGTGATGAGCCGCTGAAGGACTAGCAGAAGGAAAGAGGGAGAGGTTGGTGGTAGGGAAGAGAGATCTGGATATCTTCAGCATAGAGACCTGATGAAGATCATCCTGTGTTTAGATAGATGTGGGATCATGGCAGAGTCCTCTGGAACAGAGGAAGACCTCCAGGGAAAACACTGAAGCAGGCTGCATTCAGCTGGGCTCAAATGAAACTATCAGGGTTACAGAGATCCAAAGATGGGGAAGGTGTTGACCTGAAGAGCATGTTCACAAGCATCTGCGTCAAAGGTGGCCGAGAGGATAAGGATGGTGATGGAAGAGCGAATATTTTTTTAGATCTGAGAACAAGGCTATTTATTTATTTATTTATTTAAGTGAGGTCTGTTTCAGTGGAATGCAGTGGATGGAAGCCAGACTGCGTTATCTCAAGAGAGAGGTATAGGAAAAAGAGAAAGCTGAGACAATGGGAGCAAAGTACAAATCCAGATATTGAAAGCTGAAAAGGAGATCAGGCTATGTAAAGGAGATGGTTTTAGCTGGTTTTTAAGGCGGGGAGCAGTAGTGTGTGGCCATCACTGCTCCCACAGAAGGCATTGATCGCCACCAACTTAGATGACCTTAAAAGCAGGTTAGATAAATTCTAACCGGCTATCAATGGCTAGTAGCTGTACTGGCTATGTTCTGCCTCCACAGTTGAGCCAGGAATGCTTTTGAATACCAAGTGCTGGAAACCACCGGAGGGGAGAGTGCTGTTGTGCTCCGATCCTGCTTGCATGTTTCCCACAGGCATCTGCTTGGCCAGTGTGCAAACAAGATGCTGGACTAGATTCGCCATTTTCCCTTATCCATCAGGCTCTTCTTATGTGCGCATTCCATGTGAAAAGAGCTGGAAGTTTGGTGACTGACAGAGGGATGGTAACCCAGAGGCAGAACTAGATTGGATCCAAAGGTTACATGTTAGGGGCTGGTTACACAGCAGTGCAGGGTTTCTGCCACATGTTAAAGAGTCCACAACAGAGAAATCTTTTCCCCTTTCAGTCTGCCAGCTCTGCTTTGTTACAGACGCAGCGGCACGCTTGTGTCCGTCCCCGAAAACGGCCTTGCAGAGCAAGGGGAAAGGCACAGTGGGGGGGGGGGTTGCTGTTGTAAATAAAAATGTAACGTTAAGGTTTTTATTGTCACTCAGCTGTCCACGTCCATTGTTTTTGAATGACAGCAGTCCGAACAAGAGAGGCCCCCCGACATATAACGAGCACATAACCAAGCGGGTAGCGTCAAGCCCTGGGCCTCCGGAAGGTCCAAGCCACCCTCGGGAGCCAAGCACACCCCATCGCTATCGAGAGGGAAGGACGGAGATGCGTAGGGACAAGTCTCCTGGGCGTCCTCTAGAGAGGGAGAAATCTCCTGGCAGGGTCCTGAGCACCCGCAGGGAAAGGTCTCCTGGGAGGCTGTTTGAGGAGAGCAGCAGGGGACGGATGCAGGTGGGGGGAGCAAGGACTCCCCTCTCCCAAGTCAACAAGGTAAGCTGGACTGTCCTGCACCATTTATCGTACTTTACAGTTTATTTTTATGCTGCCTTTTAGCCAAAAAGGCATCCCCCTCTCCAATAAACATGCAAATGCAAACAATACAGATGATAGAAATCCAAAACAAAACCTTAAATGGATTGTTTTAAAAAAACACAAATACATTCCTGTTCCTGAAAATAGGGCAACGAACATTCCCCACAAAAATGTTAAGAGAGAGCCAGAGTAAATACTCAAGCAGCGGCTCCTCCCTAAAAGGATCCCAGGCAGAGGGAAAAGCTGGTGCCCCTTGATGATTCCAGCAGATTCTCTCCTCTGTAGCGATCTCTCTATTACAGCAGTTGTTACACGTTTCTTTTCTCATGGAGCTCT